CGGCTCCGGCAGCCAAATGCCGTTGCTGCGTGTAACTCGTGAGCAGCACCGCCGCTGCATTCTGGAACGCCAGCAATGAAAGGAAAAGCAAGTTTACTGAACAACACGCATGGGCCCAGGTGTAGCTCACCAACAACGTCGGTCTCTGCATACCACTAACCCCTAGCAGAAACAAAAAATAATAATAATAATCTACCGGCACACTCTTCTTTGCTACCGCAGATAATTACCTCGAAAACGCTTGCTTGCAGCCGGGTGCAATAAGAAAAGGCCAGGAAGCAAAACCACCACCTCCAACGACGGAGCTCCTTTTCCTTCTGCGCTGATGCTCCGCCGTACAGCAAAACGCACCCACCCTCCGCCACTCCTGCTAATAATAATCGTGGTGGTGATTAAGACGTTGGTGAGGAGCCGCAAAATGATGCAACCCACCACCAATGTAGAGTGAGGAAGAGGGAGAGGGAGAGGGAGAGGGAGAGGGGAGAGGGAGGGAGCTCTAGTGACAAAAAAAAAAAAAAAAACGAGGAAAACAACACATGCACGAGAGATGGAAGGAAAAAAAAAACAAACCAATAAAGAGGGAGAAGCTGCAGTGATAGCCAGTCACCTCAGATGCAAGTACGTCTGGCAGACCCAACAACACAACCAGAGGACGGATGCAGGGAAGCAAAAAACAATATCAACAACAAAATATGCACTATGCTGCCACTAAAGACCAAGAGCGCGCCTTTCTGCATTCACATCAATATTATCGTGCCGTCGCTTCACCTTGAAGGGAATGTTTAGTGCGTCGCAAAACCCACTCATCTTACGCACCGCAAAACGGCTCATAATAACAACCGACACACCAGAGATTCCAAACCTTCCAACACGCCCGCACCAATGCGCGTAGTCCAAGGCAGATTGGGGAGTGGCCAAAATCATGACATGAGTGAGATCGTTGATATCAATACCACGAACCGCAGAGGAAAGGCAGAGAATAAATTGTCGAACAGGCACCTCCCCTACGAAAGATGAATTGG